TCTCTCCAACGATGACTGATGGCAATATGGTCTATTTGAGTCCATCGTTGATTTGGTGCAGGGGGTCGCCATGTTAGACCCATTAGATTATTTATTTTAACACATAGGTATTGGTACAAATAGGCACCAAATACATATGCGCCACACGAATCTCAATTGATTTGTGTGAGGGCTGTGATACTGCCCGGGTGCCCAAACCGAAGTAGGAGACCCATTAGAACTAAACTGAGTAACGAGAAAACTAAAAGTAGGTTCCGGGAACAACTGAGGTTACACTTAGGTAGTTCTGAAAACGAGGCTGACCCAGATGTTGCTTGGAAAGATATACAATCAGCTGTGGAAACAGCAGTGACATCAATTAGTAATTTAAACCACAGGGTTATAAAGAACCAATGGATTTCTTCAAGGTCTATTGCACTGATGGATTCTCGTGAACTCATTCCATCAGGCTCTGAACACAATGATGAGCGAAAGCAAATTATATCTAGGTTAACCAAAAGTCTAAGGAACGACCGTGAGCAGTGATGGTTAACGATAGCAAAAGAGATGGAAAAAGTGGCGGCTGTAATTAACACCAGACAGCTCTTTAGACTCATAAAAGAAACTGGAACTAAAAAGTCAGGTGTAAGTGAGACTATCTCGGAAAAAGACGACGTTTTTATCTGTTCCCTCAGTTCAGACGTTTAAACGATGGGCGGAACACTTTAAGGAGCAGTTCAGTTGGCCTTCAGCTACTCTACAACTACCCACCCTTCCCAAACAGCCTGGATGGGACGTTGAAGTAGCCCCCCAACTCTAACCGAAGTTCACAAAGCTATAGCTAATCTGATACGAGAAGCAGCTGGTCCAGATGGACTGGCTCCAGAGATCTTTAAGGATAGTGGTCCAATTTTAGTGACTAGGTTGACTAATATTTTAGCTAAAATCTGGTAATTGGACATAATCCCATCTGACTGGTCACAATTACTTATCGTCGCAATATATAAAAAAGGGTCAAAATCATCATGTGACAACCATAGAGGGATTACTTTAACTAATATAGCATCTAAAACACTAGCCTCGATAATTATCGGACGCCTAACTAAGACTCGTGAACTGCAAACACAAGAAAATCAGGCTGGCTTCAGACCTGGTCGTGGATGCATCGACAACATATTCACACAGACTTGGTTATCAGCGTCCGACTATGGTGGTCTTCCTTGACTTAAAAGCAGCATTTGACTCTGTAGACCGAGAGGTTCTGTGAAAGTGTCTGTCATTCAAAGGCATACTTTAGAAGTACATTAACTTTACTCGAACACTACTAGTCGAGTGAGAGCTTATGGCGAGCTGTCATCTGATTTTGCAACCTCAAATGGTGTCGTCATGGCTGTCCACTATTTCTATATTTTTTCAACTTCATCATAGACATACTGCTGGGAATAAAAGTTTCATCGACTGAATCTTCGGACATTGATCTCCTACCAGAAGGTCCACTAATCAACTTAGAATACGCAGATGACATAGTCCTGTTTGGTGAAGAAACTGTTAAAATACAGTATTATGGTAGCATTGGACAACAATGTTTCGAATCTTCACCTTCATCGACTGGCGTGGTTGGGGCACGTGTTACGTATGCCTGAACATCGATCAACACGACGCGCAATGCTGACTAGTGTTGTGGATAGTTGGAAGAAAGTTAAGGGCGGCCAAAACAAAACGTAGCATCATTGTTTGAAGTCACAAACACCTCGTCTTAGCCATGTTGGTAGATGCAAACTATTTGGTTGCGGTCCGCGTGACTATCATAACCAATGGTTGGAGACTCTGAGTGACATGGCTCAATCAATCACATTGGCGTAGGTGAATACACTCTGTCTTCTCTTGAACCATGAGATTACTAAAGTACCTTGCTTTCTACGAACTATTTATCTATCATATCATTATATGCAGCCTTTTTTATATATTACTACCATTTAACTATCTACGTCTATTAATTCGGTGTGGCAACTTGGGCCGATGCATATATGTGCCTGGTCCTACCTTGTAGCTGACTGACTAATAACTATCCTATGCTGTCATCTGGATACTGAAACCACTTGTTAATTTTCTTTGTAATTCAATAACTTCAACATAAGCTACGTTTTTCTTTTAGCTGACGGAGGAAGAAATGATAGCTGCAAGACTAAAACCTTACGAACGAGATTATTGCGCTCACCTTTTGCTCGCTTTCAGGAAATGCTCAGATGAACATGCTATACCAGCTTTTTTCTGTTCCGATCAGAAACATAAATATCTTCATTGTAAAGAAAATGACCAGTTGTATAGAATGAAGGAATACGAACGTGAACGCCGTCTTTTACACAAGCGTACATCGATTTCAGAATGATGCATAATAACCAGGATATCGTATTGTACAATAATTTCGAAGAAAACAAACGAATACAGACAATTATGCCTAAAAGTTTGTTTCGTCTTGCTAATAGCTACATAATGAACATTTAGAAAGAGGATGTTCTTCAAATTATTTTTAGTTTATACTCTATGGTGTTTACTTTTCTGGTTCGCAAATATATACTTCTCAACTAGTCACTCACGGACGTTTTAGACTATCAGTGATTATCGATATACAGTTAGCGATTAGGACTTAAAAGAATCTTTTAGGGTCTCGGTTTAATGGAGTACTGATAGATAGTATTTTCAGAATTTGCTTTTCACCTATTGGTTACAATCTTTTTAATTATTTTACTAATCGAATTGTTTTTTATCTTTAGGAATAGATAAATTTAGAAGACAAGTTGTTTTTGTTCACATTGACTCTGGGTCGTCAGTATCGCGTTTACAATTCCGGTAGAATATCTTTAGGACAAACTAGATCCCATACTAGTTGTCGCAAAATTCTCGAGAAAGCTTATTGAGATTACACTTATATGTGAGCGACTACTAAACTAAAACGTGGTTAAAAACTAACTACTCTTTAGGGTTTTGTTGGCTGGAAGCACCACTTTCATGCACCATGTTCGGCATTTTGTGTCCTTGGTATTACATTTAGTGCCACCTTCTTGTGTACATGTTACCAATAATTAGTTAGCCATACACAACGTAGGACCTAGTGCGTATGTGCATCAGTGCGAGTTGGCACATCACACTAAGGCGACGGTATGAAAATATCAGGACATCCCCGAGAAGGGAAATAGTCATAGTATTAGTAGTAGAAACGACGACAAGAGGCGCGGGAAGGTTTTGAAACTAAGGATGTAAGGGGTGACGAAGGGTAAATGCATCTGCACGTCGTAGTTGATCCTAGACAGTTTTATCCATCGTTTCCTACTAGTGGTTATGCTAAATGCGTAAACCCCAACCAGGTAGTCTGCGCCTATCTACATGGGTTGGTTCAATTACCAATGACGTTATGGGTTGATGCCAAGTTTTAGTTTGGCCGCCTGTCTTCCATCTAACCTACTTCTAGACCAATGTTGCGCATCGAGGTAGGAGGCAGTTGGGCATACGTGACACATGTCCCAATTGCCTCAATTAGTGAAGATCCACCACTCCATTGCCCAACTTACCATTTTCGTTTTCAGCCTTATCTCTAATCTCAATATTGCCCACTCAGTGTTTCCAACACATACGAGCGATACTTCGAAGGAATTTGTGCGGTAATATTAGTGGCCTACCGTTCAAGCCCCACTGATATATTCTAAATCAAAGAGTGCCTTAGAGTCCTCAAAATTTTTTGTTATTCTCGCTCCACATATGCGCTGTTGTTTTAAAATAAATACTCCCCCCCGTTTTTGTATAAGTAACAGTTTATTGTGCAGATCCACAGAAGTAGAGTACAATTTTGGCAATAATGTATGATATTTTATTAGGTTTAAGATATTTTAACGATATTTCAAGACCAACGAGGAGAAACAAAGTCATAACTATATCGTAAATAACGAGTACGAGAATTCTACACAATTTATATTGTCTATTCTCTAAAATCTTCAGCATAGTGATAATCGGAGGTATCAGGAATATAAACGAACGTTATTATATTACAGGTGCGAAGTTAAGTCAGCATAGATCAGATTTCTATGATCGTCACTTGAAGTGTTAGAAACAAAGTAGAGGCAAACGAAATTATCCGTGTTTTCGACGTGTCGAGTACAACGAGGATTGTTTTGCTTTCGGAAAAAATACAGACAAGTACTTTTGCTTGGACCACAATTTCAAGCCTATTAATGCAGTGAGAATGGTGGCTGTGGTTGCATTAAGACCGTATTTAAACTGTCAGAAAGCGAATGGATCATACTTAGGACATGCATATGTATGGCTTTTATGTTTGTCACTTGTTCGAATATAATAAAAAACAAAACTCATTTAGCTGTCAGACATGTGTGTACAACATACTGCGGGTTAAGCGGTAGGCTAACATGTGGGATATATTTTAGGTAGTTTGGTGTTTAGACTTACAACCTGATTGATTAACTCAACCTTATGAACAAGAAACCTGACTTCGACGTTTATTTCTGAGGTGTAGGCACGACAGATACTCTATGAAGATATAAACATTTGAAAACAGTGGAGTTCCGATATCTTTTAGTAGCTGTTCTTTATGCAATGGAGTGACCATAATAATCCATAGTATAACTGTTCCGGTAGATAACTAGCTCTTGTCATGCAGTTCTATTCAGTCAGCAAACCTCTCATATTCACGTTCTGATGCACATGAACCCTAGTTCATCGGTAGGTATATAGTTTCCAGAACAAGACGATTATTACTGTGTCAACAAACAATAAACTCAAGTCAGATATCGATATGATGTACTCGTGGTGTACTACTCTACAATTGGCAACTTTTAAGTATATTAAACCACGATCTACCGTCTAATGAGTTGGAAAATAGCATCCTACGCCCAGGGTATTAATGACTTTACTAATGTCTTAATTTGGCCTGTAGGAGCAAAACTGGTCCATGAATTGAAGTAGCGAACTCTTACCTAGTGATAGTAAGTCATAACAAAGAACAAAGATTATTAGAAAATCAACGTTACTTATTATCCTGAAAATATTGATAGATGGAACTGAGAGCAGAAATTTAGATGATGCATTTCAAGTGAAGCAAAGTTTCATTAGACCGCAGACTTATCCAAAAAACCAGCTGGAAAGGGTGCACAAATTTGTACGAGATATTAAAAGTTATCCATCAATCTGAAACAATAGTACTCCTAAAACATTACAATTTAAGAATCACCCATAAACTTTCTCCAATAAACTGAAATTTCTAATTAGGAAATAGAAGTCAGCAACCATAACTATTACTGCGCACAACAAACCACAAACAATACGCGAGAAGAGTGATATGGGATAATTGGAGGACATTAAATCAGGGAGGAAATATCCGAACGCAAAGGCGGACATCACAATAACAATAAAGTTGAGGACCATAACGAATTGTTTCCTAGCACATTTGAGTTCAGAAAAGCAAGTTTTTTGGGCCTTGGAAGTTGTTGAAAAGACTATGGGTGTACCGATATCTTTCGTTATTTTTTCGTAGCATTTGTTATTATACTTATTTCTTAGTTCTTCAAAATGAGCATCAAGACCTTGATTTTTAAGAGTTTGCTTTATCGCAGGAAGGACTACAGAGGTTTTTAGAGAAATGCGCCAAAATTGGAGATAAATATTGTCTTTGCCTGTATCCGACAGCTTCTTCGTTAAGTGATAGCAGTCATTTACAACTGAGAATGGTACAACAGACCTTTTTTCTAGTACTCGACTTATTGAATTTTTGAGTTCTGGAGAGCATATATCTAGACCACCAACCTTGGACAAATACGTTGCAAGTTCATCGGTAAGGAGAAACTCCAGATTGATTGACCTTGAGCCCATCCGCTTTTACGCAACACCAGTGTGACCCACAGATGATTGGTAAAAAGAAGAAATATTCTTACATTGGTCATGACCTCTAGTTACCTTTCTCTATGATAGTACATCAGCTTTATAGGTTGATCACTAAGTCCACAACAACTAGTTTCATTTTATTTTGGTTTCAAGTAAGGTCAGATAAGTGATCTCCAACATATTCAAAATGATGTTAAATGGCTTATCAAAGATTTACTTCGATTAAAAAAAAACCACTTGTCTTTCCAGACAAAAATACGCTTTATTTAGGAGAGTGTGAAGTCCTGTGTAATATTTATCATTGTTTACTGCCGGATTGTGCAATAACATTACAATGTCCAACCAATTTTCTGAGTCTTAATAGAAGAGAAACAAAGTTTCCGGCTTAGCTCTCGATGAAAATGCAGCTTTAAATGATTATCACGAACACTACTATGTTGACGCATTTAGAGTCGAACCCTAAAACTCACCATACATTGTGCACCCATGCTTCAGATAAGCCGTAGGGGCCGTGCTACAACGGTGAATGAACGACCAAGTCACACTTGCTGCGTTTTCTTCTGATCTTTCATTATTATCCCAAATATGCTATGGATTTTGAGGGCATGAATTATTAGAATTTTGTTTGACGATAATACATTCCACTATACTATTACAAGGACGTGAGTTTACAATAATAACCGGTTACAAACCTTTATGTCTTTCCTTTATCATGTCATGTTATCGGTATTCACCACGTTAAGCGTGACGGAAAGATTATATCTCACAATAGACAAACGACATCCAGTTCATGGAAGGACAGTGTAATGTTGTTGTGAAAGTTGGTGCCAAAATGTGTTATTGATATACGATTTGCTTCGCACTAAGCCCCCAACGCATCACTTAAGCACAAACAATAATAAGCGAGAATGTATATTGTGGTACCGCATAAAAGGCATAGATACACACTTAAATACAACTGTACTCCTTCAGACATTAATCCACTTATTAACCATTAAAATGCACCTGTCCATCAAGTCAGTCTCATTGCCGTCGATTGACATACCTACTAGGCTACTGATGATTGGCTCACCATAACAGTCTTAGCGGACGCCGTATGAAGAAAGGACATCAATATGCTGGTACAAAAACAATACATCAATCTCGAAATGTCGACAAAGTTACAAGTAGACAACGCAGATTTAAAAACGTGCAAAGAAAAGTTCGATTCGCAAACGTCTAACGATTTCCTCCTCCAATTTTTTCAATCATCTGTGACATTTCAACAGGTAAAACCCACCCTTTTGTCCTTAAAGTTTACCGGCGAATAGTATTTTGACAGCTCCATGATCTTTCACACTCTGAGATCCAAACTACAACAAAAGTCATCACGAAACGTTTTTTGGCCGAAAATTAACTTGTACTTGGAAATTTGATCAAGAAACCGCACACAATATCAGCGCAGTGTATGATTATTTCCAATGGAAAATTGTCATTATCTGACAGACGTTTCCAACAACTTGATATAGATATCGTCGGTTATCTCTCACCTTTCAACTCTATGATCCACATCATGATCATTGTTGATTGGTTTACCGGGTGGAAAATAGCATGCTTCTTTAAAGATACGTAGGCAGAGTCGATAGCTCAGTATTCCTCTACAGTTGTACATCAGATTATCGGTCACCATTACCACCAGTACAGAACGATATCCTTACTATCATTTTGAGCAACTCTAGGAATCTGTGGCGGCACTGGACACTAATCACACAATCCTCAAAGCTGAGCACGAGATCGCTGGAAAAATAGATATTCAACATTTACCGCGGAGGGAAGATCAAGGTTGGTGAAAGCGGAAAGAATTAATTCAACTTAATGGGATTGCACAGCTCAACCTGGCAGGGGTGGTCATCCTTGTGTAACTTACATTTTTTATTCATATTAAATATATTGTTCGATCTCCAGGCTAAATATTTTCTCCATCACATATTGGTGATTGTTACGATATGATGAGTCAGTGTAGAAAATTATGTGACTTCTACATAAGATCTGTAGCTTGGTGTCGAGTTGAGCTTGACTATGAACACTGCTACAAGACTGCGTGCCAATTTACCAATAAGATCTCCGTAGGCCAATATCAGAAGACAGATGATGGCTGTAGTCGAGATGTACTTGTTGGCGATCTCGTGGTATCGAAAGAATACCGAGATCGTGCCAAAGGAGTACAAGCGTGGTTACTGAGCGTAACCGAATTCGTACAAGTTCAAAGTCAACGGGAGAGTAAGTAAGTATATTGGCTGTCATTAGCACAGTTAAACAAACGAGCACAGTAAAACAGTCACTGGTACAATTGGTTATAATAATAATTGTTTTCATCGAACCAATCGCGTTCTGTTGACAAAAGTAGGTCACTACAAAAGCCCCCCGCTAGAAAGGGTTTACACTTTCGATAGTTAGCGGTTTGATTCGTGGGACTGATCGGCAGAAGTGCGGTTGTAGGACGGAGGAAATTGGCGGAACAGGAAGTGATCGTTAATCCTCGAGTTGCCAACGAAAGTCTTTTGCGCAGAACGGTACCAGGAGAAGTGCGCTGTATTTGCTGGTCGAATTAGCATACCACACCAGAGTGGCTTGTATCCAGGATCTGATGATTGCGTTCGTAGGGATGCGAATCAGAAAACGCTGCAGACGTAGGACGAAACCACGTTGAGCCAAGAAACCGGAAGCGACAATAACGACCAAGCGTATGCCAGGCGAATTCGAGACCAGATAATCGACTGAGTGCGTTGATTAGAGCATGGGTGGCCAAACCAGCTTTTGCCAAAGTTGACTGAAGTCGACGTTATCAAACGGACGATGGTCGGAGGTGTAGGCTAAGGATACAAAAAAAAATCAAAAAAAGAAAAGTGTAGCATGCGTGTAGTATAGGAATAATCCTACACCGTATCTGCTATTGACTGTGCGGTTAGTCGCGAAAGCGTACGGGTAATCGTACTCGGCGACCGGAACGTGAGACGGTGGTCTCGTTCGTACTTCGTGAGCCTGCGATCTCATCCGAGGTCAAGGGCGGCGTGGTCTGCCGATCTGGACGTGAGACGGAAGTCTCGTCCGTAGATGGTGCAGATGACGCGTGCTGTTGACCGGGACGTGAGAACGAGGTCTCTGATGTATCTAGCGTGGGATCCGTGGTAGACGTAGAGATCCCGCTAGAAGGTTTGATAGGTCTAGCATTGAGTCTCAAGTTATCGGGTAGGGCACTGTCATCGACGTGTGCTGGTTTGAGACGATCAATGCTGACGATCTCGACGCGGCCGTGTCGATCAACCTTGAAGGTCTTTTCGTGACGAGAGATCACGTGAAAAGGGTTTTCGTAAGGCTGTTGTAGAGGTTTGCGTACCGAATCTACTCGTATGAAAACATGTGAACAGGTAGATAACTCTCGAGGGAGAGCGACCTGTCGATGTTGTATTCGAGTTGACACCGGAGACAACGTTCGCATAAATGCAGACGGTCGATGGGCGTAGTCTGATTTACCGAAATGATTACTGCTCCGTGGTGTGAAGAATTCCCCAGGCAGATGCAATGTCGTGCCGTATGCAAGTTTAGCGGCGGAACATTGGATATCTGCCTTCAAACTCGTTCTGATGCCTAAGAGAACGAGCGGTAAGCTTTCGTACCAATTATCGTTTTCGTGTGCTCGAAGAGCACTTTTAAGTTGGCGATGAAACCTTTCGACTAAACCATTCGATGCTGGATGGTAGGCGGTGGTGCGTATGCGTTCCGTACCAAGCAGCCTGGTCAGTGAGGAGAATAATGCGGACTCGAATTGTTGTCCTCGGTCAGTCGTGACGGTCGAGGGACAACCATACAGTGCTATCCATCGTTCTACGAAGCGGTGAGCAACTGTTTCCGCCGTGATAGACGTGATGGGAATAGCTTCGGGCCATCTTGTAAAACGGTCAATGCACGTGAGTATGTGATCATGCCCATGCGATGGTGGCAATGGTCCTACAATGTCTATATGAACGTGATCAAAGCGAGCATCAGGCGTAGCGAACGTGCCAATGGGGGCAGCTACGTGCCTGTGCACTTTTGATCGTTGACACTGTAAGCATTGCTTTACCCACATACGAACTTCTTTATTCATGGACGGCCAGACGTATCGTGCAGCGATGAGACGTAATGTGGCTGCGATACCTGGATGAGACAATCCATGAAGGGCATCGAAGACGAGACGGCGATAGGCAGAGGGTACGATGGGTCGAGGAAGACCGGTAGAAATATCACATAGGATAGTACCTGAGCTAGTAGCTAGGGGTACTTCCTGACACTGAAGGGACGAAGATTGTGGTGCTTCTGTACAGACAGGATCGTTTGCTTGCGCGGCGGCCATAGCAGGAAGATCGATCACCGGTAAGGTAACTGCATTCGTCTGGATACGTGATAGAGCATCGGCAACATAGTTCGACTCGCCTTTAATGTGACGAAGGTCTACCGTGAACTGGGAGATATAGTCCAAATGTCTGCACTCTCGTGGTGAGTAGCAGTCAGACTTGGTAAGTAGGGCATACGTTAAGGGCTTATGGTCGGTGAATAAAATGAATTGGCGTCCTTCTACTGCGTGCCGGAAATGTTTGATGGCACAGTAGGCTGCAAGCAGCTCGCGACCAAAAGCGCTATATCTCGTCTCCGTGGGAGTAAGGCGTCATGAGAAAAATTCAAGCGGTTGCCAACTACCGGAGATATTCTGTTGCATGACGGCTCCTATAGCGAAATCTGATGCATCAACCGCTATACTAAGCGTGGCTGATGGGTCAGGATGAGCGAGGAGTGTAATTTCAGCGAGAGCCGTTTTGATCTCTGAGAATGCAGTGTGTGCGGTATCGTTCAATTCTAATTTGCGTGGATTACCGCGTAGTAAATCGGTTAATAGTCGTAACCGTTCTGCCGCGTGAGGGATAAAACGTCGGTAGAAGTTAACCAAACCGAGAAAAGCCTTCAGTTCCTTGATTGAGGACGGCACGTTGTACTCCTTGATTGCTCGAACCTTGTCCTCGCAAGGCAGAATACCTTCTTGTCTGATGATGTGACCCAGAAATATTATTTCTGATTTACCCAATTCACATTTCTTTGGGTTGACTACTATTCCATTATCCGAAGGACGTTGGAATAATAGCGTAAGGTGTTG